GTTTAAAATCTTGAGTTTTGGGTCTGAATCAGCCAACTTGAAATATTTGCTTTTGACACTTTCTGACCTTGAAATGACCGAGATCCAACAACAAGATGTTCTGAGTCCCGTTGTAAAAGCCGGTCTGGGGGATGATGACGTACGAGGCCATCAAGTTCAGCTTCAAGTCCAGAACTTTCTGTGTTTCGATCACATACATCAAACCTGACACACAGAGTGTCATAAAGTTATTACTAATAATTACAACAAATTTCAGTAAGAAGGAAAAATTTTACATTTAATTATGATCACAAATGGTAACAAAGTCCTGAAGTAGATAATACTTGATAGCAGAAGGAACGATTGTTTTGTCAGTTTTTTAGACTCCTATAAAATATTAAATCCAGTCAAATTTAATAGCTGAATTCAGTGTAGTATGTACATTTTTTGTTTGTTTTTACAAAAAAATCTGCCAGGAAACAAATAGTTTCATGAGGATAGACAGGAACAACATAATCTGGTAAGCATTCCAGACTGGCTTGAAGTATGTAAACATTGTACAAAACTAAATTACCAAATTATATCAAGGAATGTAAATATGCTCTTATCAGAGAATTCAGACCAGGCTAGAGATAATGTTAAGATCAGTCCTGATAGTGTTCGCTGTAGCTCACCGGTGGATGTGCGGTCTCTGAACTGCTCCAGTTTCATCAGRGTCGCATTGGTGAGCTCATCGAGCTGCAGGTCGTCAGGCAGCCTGAAGAACACTGCCATCCTATTCACTGTWATCTACACAAAACAAATATATTTTATTGGTACTTTCTGGATAATATTTGAGCAGACACACTGACAGGCATCGCTCACTGCATCGTAGATGATTTCCAGTGGCTGGGATTCAACGTGGAGCCGCTGGTTTGCAGTCCCATCCAGCGGGTTGGTTTCAAACAGGATGCAGAGCAGCGGCGTTCCTGCTCCTGTGGCTGCCTTCCTCGATGAAAGGAGGGTTGGTGCGGGCCTGTTCATGGCCAAACCGGTGACTTCAAACAAACTGAGTTGTGCTGTGATTCTGAGGAAAACAGAAATTGGATATCAGTGCCAGGATCCTTGAAAAATGTTGTGCTGGATGCACTAAAAGCAAAAAAGTTGTGATCTTATTTTATCACATACTATTTAATAATGAAGTCAGAAGGTTTTTTTTTTTTTGCTTTACACACCGGTTTTTAGAAGCATTCAAACCACACTCATGTTTACAAAYAAACAACTTTAAAAATATCTTAAACCTGCAGCAGAAAGCATGCAACACTAAAAAGGACAAAAGCTCTTTAAAAGCACAGAGAAGTGACAGACCTGATGGCTTGAGCGCCAGGCCTCTGTGCCAGTGTTGACTTGAGCTCCCCCACCGTCAGCTTGATGATCTCATCTTTGTCCTTCGTTTCTTTGATGGACACAATCAGCCGCTCCATGTGGAAATTAACCTTCATGTCTTCAAACTGWAAAAAGGAAAAAGAAAAAATGCTTATGATTTAGCCCAAAATAACACTGTTTTGGAGTGATGAGCCAAACAGAAGCATATTATTTATTAAAGAGAAACGACTCACATTTTTTGGCAAGTTGGGATTAGCAGCAGTTTCACTGTATCCAATGGCAGTGTAGAGTTTGGCTTTCTCAGCAGGGGTTAAAAACTCATCAAAACCTGAGATACAGAGTTGTTACAAGAAGGAATATAAAAACATACTAAACATACTCAAGTCTGCTCACTATATATATATATATATATACAGCTGAACTCTGTTTTTGTCACATGGTCACAAGTCTTTAAGTTCACATTTTGTTACTTTTCTGCTCAGTTTCAGTATCTTACTTCCAGGTTTGGTCTCTTTTGTTTGTGTCTCAGCTTCTCCTCCCCAGTTCCACATCCAGCTGATCCAACCCTGAGACTGCTCTTCCTCCATCTTCAACCCTGGACGATAAATACGCAGCCCTGCCTTGCTTGCCTAAGATGAAGTAAAATTATGTGTTGAAATCTTATCTTATATTGATGTGCAAAGTAGGAACCAAATCCACAACCACACTATTATTTTACAYATAAACAAACAACTTAGCTATATACAGTTGTGGTCAAAAGTTTACATACACTTGTAAAGAAACATAATGTTATGGCTGTCTTGAGTTTTCAATAAGTTCTACAACTCTTATTTTTCTGTGATAGAGTGATCGGAACACATACATGTTTGTCACAAAAAACAGTCATAAAATTTGGTTATTTCATAAA